GGGCGGCCCCCGCCGCCCTTTTTTTGTGTGGCGGGGGTGGGTACGTCTCGTTGTGGCCGCCCCTCTTAGGGGGCGCCGTCTCGCCGCGCTCGGGTTCCCCGCTATGTGCGGCGGCTTTCGAGCCCGGTTTTCTCTAACGCTCGGGCTGCACCCCGCGGCCGCGCACACACACACATCCCCCCTCCTCCTCCCCCCGCCCCACACACACACACACCTCCCCCCTCCTCCTCCCCCCCACCCTAAGGAGCTCGAACTCGTTCTGCAGCGGCGAGACGAGCTGCACGCCGCCGCCCGCCGTCTCTCGCCTCTTGCGCCCCAGGCGGCCGGCGGGCTTTCGTTTCGTAGGCAGGACGAGCTGCACGCCGCGCTGACCGAGCTCGAGCGCCGAGTCGCCGCCGAGGCGCGCGTCGCCGGCAGCGGCGCACCGTCGGAGCGGCAGGCCGCCTCCGAGCGCGCCGAGTCCCATACCCCCAGAGTGGTCGAATCCAGTGTGGGTTCAGGTCCGTGGGTGGTGTGGTAGGCCGCGTACGAGCTCGCCGAGGAGGTCGACAAGGAGCTGGGCGAGATGCGCGAGACGCGGGTTTCCAGCCGTCGCCTTCCGCTCCCGAGCGCCGCCGATTGTTTTCTTCTTTCAGGCGAGATGCGCGAGACGCTGACCGATGCCGTCGAGGCGCTCAACGGCGCGCGCGCCGCCGAGGCTGCCGAGCCTCCCGACGCCGAGCTCGCGCGCACGGTGCGCGTGCTGGACGTGCACCTCTCGGCCCTCAAGTGGCTGGACGAGCAGGCGCGTGCAGAGAGGGGGAGAGAGGGGGCAGATAGGGGGAGATTCAAGTGGCTGGACGAGGAGGCGCGCGTCGGCCAGTCTTAGCATTGGGGGCACACGCACACGCGGAAGAGACACGGGCGGCCCCCTATCTCCCCCTATCTCCCCCTATCTCCCCTTATCTCTCCCGTATCTCCCCTCTATCTCCCCGTATCTCCCCGCAGGCGGGCGGACTCGACGAGGACTTGCGCCGCGTCGACGCGCTGATGGCGGACGAGGCCGCGCTTGCCCGGCTGGCGGCGGCGGGCGGCGGGCTGGCCTGAGCATCTCGGGCGCCAAGCATGCTTGCCGCCCCTTGTTGCCGTCGGGGGGGGTTCTGCAGCGGCGGCGTTTGCGGCAGAGAGCTGACAGAGCGTACGGAGGGCGGAGGAAGCGCCGCGCGGGGCCACAAGCTCGACAGCTCTGGTTGAAGCACATCTCTTGTCTCGGGCTCTCGGGAGTGAGGGGCGAGGGGGGAGGGGCGGTTTCGCACACTGAATACCTCCAGTGGTTCTAAAATTTTAAAGCGCGGAATCCGGAAAAGCGAAAAAGGTGTCGGTAAGGTCGGTCGGGGTCCCGGGTCGATTTTTCAAAGTGAATAGTACGGCATCGAAACTGCAAAACAAGATGCGTTAGCTCGAAAGAAACACATAGACACCCACATGGGTTGCCATCGCCCTCAACACAAGTGGCCCACCCGTCACGATTTTGTCGCGCTCCGGCCTCCGGGGGCGGGGTGGGCGGGTGGCGGGACGGGGCACGGGCTCGCACGCAAATGGCTCTCTCGCACCACCTCACAACACGCGCACGGTGGCAGAGGTCGCGCGCTACTCACTCCTCCTCGCCCTCCTCGCCCTCCTCCGCCTCCAGCTCTGCCGCCGCATCGAGCTCCGCCTCGTACGCGTGTAGCTGTGGGCGACGGAGCCGCCGCTGCGGCCTTCCGCCATCGGGGCGACGGCGGCGGCGGCAGCGGGCCGGGCGGCGGCGACGACGGTGGCGGTGGTAAGGGCGGCAGCAGCGATGAAGGCGGCAGCGAGGGCGGCGGCGGCGACGGCGGAGGCGGGCTCGGTGGGGGCGGCGAGACGGTGGAGGCGGCGGGGCGGCGGCGGTGAGGGTGGCGGCGGTGAGGGCTGCGGCGGTGAGGGCGGCGGCGGCGAGGGCGGCGGCGGCGGCGAGAGGGGGAGGCGGCGGCGGCGGCGGCGTATGATGTAACATACTTGACCCCCCCCCTTGGCACTTGGAGCACTTGGAGTGCAGTCAGTAACCTCACATCCAGGGCCGGGGAGCTGAGAAGCGCACCCAGCGGGCCGGATGATCGGCATCGGGCTACGGGCTAGAGAGCCCTGACCCCTAGCTAGGGGGGGGCGCGCATTCGCAGGGCAAGGGCCTTAAAGTAAACACGGGTCTCCGAGGGTTAGTTCTGCGCTTTGGGTGTCCCCTAGCGGCGGAACGCCCCCTCTACTCGGAGCTACTAAACACCATACTAGCATGTTTTCTTTCTTTTTCTACTCGGAGCCAGTGATACGAGAATACGCACATGTTACAAGAATACACACTGCCCCCACGGAGTACCTGCACTACTCGACGATAATACAAGAAGAATACGCAGCTTGGAAGTTGCAGACGCCTATTAAAGAAAAAACAGCCAGCTGAATTTCGGCGGCGAAAAAGCAAAGGACGGGCGCTTTTGATCGGCAAAGCAAAGTTGGAGTAACGGCGACCGCGTCGCCACAATGCCAGTCGCCTGTCGAGCAGCCTTGGCGGCGCGCATGCGCCGCAGGGTTGACCGACAGCCGCGCGCCTCGAGCCTCTCGCTCCACTCGCGGCACGACGCGCCCCGCGCGCCGGTCAGCGCAGCAGGAGTATTGCGACATGCTGCACAACGCCACGACTCTCATTGGTTGAGCAGCCGTCGCAGTGCTCGACGGATCGGCAGTGTCGGCGCCACCAGCACCGCGCTCGGTCTCGCTCAGCGAGGCGGCCGAGAGCACAGGCAAGCCGAGGAGGTGGTGGAGAATGACCTCCAGACTGACCCGGAGAATCACCTCCACCCAGCCCCACTTGGAAGCTGATCGTGCTCGACGCCCGGCCCGCATGAGCAGCCCTGTGCACCCGAAACTCGCTCCGCGCCGGAAGACGCAGCTGACGGCACAAGCGACGCCGTCGTCGCGGCCCGTGCGGTTGACCAGAGCCTTGAGATTTTGCGCCCGCATCGAGCGGAGGTCGAGCCCAAGCGCAAAGCAGATGCCCTCCACGAGAGACAGCTCTTTCCTGCGATCGTCGGCACCCGCGAGTTGATCTGACTCCGCCACCACACGGCCGTCGAGGAGAAAAAAGTCTCGGCCCTAGGAGTACCTTTTCGGGCAAACCATCGAGCTGCATGTCGATTTCGACGCGACGGGCGCATGGAGGCATCACGTCTCCATGCGCCCGTCAAGTCGGAGCCAGTCTGCGGCGACCACCAGCGCTCAGAAAAGGTACATGGCGAGCTATTCAGAGTCAAGCGATTGCGCGAAATCCCACACGTGACCCTGGTGGATTTGGGGGCGCTGCGCACCCCGTCCCCCTAACGACACGGCTCTACTCGGGGCGGCCGCGCAGGACGAAAGAGCTGGAAGGGGAACCCCACGACGCAAATCATAATCTCCATCCGGACTGCCCGTGCACGTGACATGCACACATGCACAACATGCACGCATCTATGTGAATGCCGCGCACATACATCCCACGGATGCTCCATGTGCGAGCTAGCTCTACTAATCGTCCCGGGTTTGCAGGTTTTGCGTTTGCCGCACGTTTTGCGCACGACATCGCGCAACCGATCAGACCTGCTGCTGCACCGACGACGCCTCGCCTCCAGAGTCGCGCGCCTCCGCAGAGCTGCGGCTGCTCATCTTGGCGAACACCCGGCTGAGTCCGCCAAGGCTGCGCTTCGCGAGACTGGTGCTGCCCTCAACGACGCTGCCTGAAGCGAGGAGGCCCGCCCGCGACCGAGCGGGGGTCGCGCCTAGGCTCTTTGCCAGAAGGACGAGCGACACCTGCGGGCAGAGGGACCCGCCCCTCGTCACGAAACGCTCGATGCGGGGGAGAGCTCGCTGTGTGTGAGAGGGGCGCGCGCGCGCGCGCCTTGCGGTGGTGGCCGGGAAAGCAGGATTTTGCCAGGTCCTTGTAGAGTCCGCCGGCGATGAGCTCCTGCCGCGTTGGGGGGGAGAGGGTTGGGGAGGAGGGTGGCGGGACAGGCGCCACGTTGAGACATTCGCTCCTGCGGCGTGACTTCGAAAAACCTCGAGAACTGGCAGCCGCCGAGCGCGGGGTCGTTCTCGTGCGCCATGACGATCTTCAGCTTGTCCTCCCGCGCCTGCTTGACCTGCTCGGCCAGCCGCTCGTCGCTGACGAAGCTGTCCTCGTTGAGGTAGAGCAGCAAGTGCGTCGCGCTGGCCGGCCGATCATCGGTGGTGCAGATCGTGAGACCGGCGGTCTCACGATCTGGGGCAAAGGCGGCGGCGATCTCATCGGCCAGCGCCAGCGACCCCGCGTTGGCTGGCGAGGCCCAGAGCGTGCACGGTTTGGAAAAGGCGAGCGACTGGCTCTCGAGCTCACCCGACACGCAGAGCGGAAGGGAGGTCCTGTCCAGAAAGTTGGGCGAGCAGAGGAGCACCGCCTAGGTTGGTTCAAGTGGGGTTGGCCGGGAGGTAGAGTGAGAGAACGGAGCTGGTTGTGGCCGGCGGCGCCTCGGCGATGATCTTGAGGGAGATGAGCTGAAACTCATCGATGCGATACCAAATCGTGAGCGGCCAGTCGTTGTCAAAAATGGCCGGCTGCAGGTCCTCGGGGCACTCGTCGCGCAGCGCCTGGAGCGTCCCGCCGCCCTTTTCAGGGTCCGCTTCTTGGACGAGGACGAGCGGCTTGTCCTTCTCGAGCGACGAGCGGACCTCTCGGAGGCAGTTCTGTGGCGCGGGCGAGGCGGCAGTTCTTGGGGCCAGGGTGCGGTAGAGGCGGGGTGGGAGGAAGAGGCGAGCCTTGGAGCGGAAGTAGCCCTGCGAGAGGAAGAAGAGGATGACCTGCGAGCTCTGGATGTACTCCTCCAGCGCCCCGATATCCTTGAGATCATCTACCTATGAGCACACCGCGGTGCGTCAGGGGGGCTCTTTGTGTAGCTTAAGCAGCGCTGATGAGCATGTGCGCGCGTCGAGAAAGACTTTGATGTCCGGCAGCAGCTGCTCGAGCTCACCCTTGATGACCTTGACGGCGTCTTGACCGGTCGACCTATTCGTTTGGGTGAGGGGCGGGGATCACGCCGGCTGTTTTCGCTCCCTCTTCTCCCTCCATGACTCACCAGATGTGGCTGTTGAAGAGGTGCCACGTGAGGCCCATCGCGATGCTCAGCTCGGGGGGCTGCTTGGTCGAGACGAGTCGGATCGTGGGGATCTTGGCGACGCGACGGGCGGCGGCGATGGCGCCGACGAGGAAGAAGGCGAGCACGACTGCAACGAGGATGATCATCGAGTCGACAATCACATTGAGGCTGCGGAAGCCGAGGACATCGGCGGGATCTGCTCCCTGGTACCGCTCCTGGATGCCGAGGAAGGTGGTGCTCCAGTTGGTGCCGAGGAAGAGCAGGAGGAGCACGAGGCTCGTGGCGACGGCGAGCACGTTGTCCTCGACCCGCTTGTACGGCCGCACGACGGCGAGCGCGACGGCGTAGCATGAGCAGATGAGCGTCGCCACCACGAGGCGAACAAAGGCTCGCTCCTCCGGGATCAGCAGCACGAAGCCAGTCAGCACGAGCTTGCGCGCCAGCTCGACCGCCTCCCACCAGTACCAGGTCTTCTCGTACTCCCGGTGCAGGAAGCCGGCAGCCCGCGTCAGAGCATTCGGCGACTTGGCCTGCAGCGGCTTGTAGCAAGCGGCGAGGAGCGACGTGAAGAGGACCAGCGAGCCGGCGGGCCAGAGGACGATGAAGCCGGTGGCGAGGGTGGTGATGGGTCCGTGATCGTCGGAGCCGCACTCGACGCTCGCGTCCTGCCGCATGTAGGAGACCTGCTCTAGCTCCTCGCCGGGCGGAGAGGTGGTGTAGGCCTATCAGCAGAAACTTACGAGGACTGAGGGATGTGGTGTTGTGAGCAACGGCAGTCATCAGCTGTGAGAGGGCGCCTGGCACGACCAGGAGCGGAAGATGGAGGCGCTGATGGAGGGCACGAAGCAGAAGACGAGCACGAGGCCGGCCGGCGTGAGGTCGAGGAGGCCGAGGGCCGCCTCCGCGTACCACGGCCTCTCGCGCGGCGCCGGGGCGGCGCGCCAGCGATAGAGCCGCAGACTTATCCCCGCGATCATTAGCAGGGCGATGAGGGCGACGGGGGAGAGGGCGATGGCGAGGAGTCGCATACCGTAGCCGAGGCACTGCTCCGGCAGGAAAAAGCCAGACCAGTCGATGGAAATCGCGTTGGCCAAGTTGTCGGTCCAGCTCGTGTACTTGTCCGGTAGCCGCGCGGAGTAGGTGGAGGAGAGGACGGTGCTGATCTGGTAGAAGCCAAACAGGATCTTGACCTTGGCCGTCATTCCGCCCCCGACGTAGTACTTGACCGAGCGGTCTGCGAAGCGGAGGATCGGGCCGATGATGCGCTCCTTCCGCCACGGCATGTGGTAGGCCCACGCCGCCAAGCCGCACGCGACGCAGAGGCCGAGGACGAGGCCGGCGATGCGGCCCGCCGCCGCGCCGCGCGGAGCGCACTCTTTGCACTCGTCGCCGTCGACGAGGTGGTGATTGTCCGCAGCGCAGAGCTGGCACTCGGGTCCTTTGAAGTCCGACGCGCAGTACTCTGAGCCCGCCTCCACCATCCTCCGGCCTCTCGCCACCGGCTCGCTGCCGGCGCATCGCTTCTTGCCGGCATTGGCATTGCCACCAAAGAGGCGGCACTCTGTCAGCACCGCGGAGGAGGGGCTGGCGCGCCAGAAGCCGCGCAGGAGGACGAGGGAAGAAAGGGTGGTGTTGTCCGGGCAGGCAGCGTTCGGCGGGCACGGCTTGCAGTACTCGGTGGGGGAGGTCAAGACGTCCCCTGGGTCGGCCGAGGTGTTCCGCAGATAGTAGTCGTCCATGCAGATAGAGCAGATGGTGCTGCCGCTGACCGAGCTGAGGGGATGCGGACATAGATTGCAGAGGCTTTGGCCAGCGTTGGCGGCGTATTTGCCAGCCACGCACTCGTCGCACGCGACGCTGCCTTGATTCGACGAAGTGCCGGGATCGCAAGACTCGCACTTAGACTGCCCCTCTTTCGCGGCGAAAGTGCCAGGCGAGCACGGCGTCGGCTCGATGCTGCCCGTGGAGCAGGCGCTGCCGGCGGGGCAGGCCGTGCACTCGCCCGCGGCGGTGAGGTTTGTTGCGTTCGAGTAGCTGCCAGCCTCGCACGGCAGCGGCGCCGACGCGCCCAGCTCGCAGTAGCTGCCTTTCTTGCACACGAGACAGCCCGTCGCACCCTTATCGTGCTGGTAGGTCCCCCCCTTGCACGGCTCGCACTCAGAGAGGCCGCCCGTGACAGCGAAGCTACCCTTGGCGCACGCCGTCTGCTGCGTGGAGCCGGTGGTGGCGAAGTGGCCCGGCGAGGCGTCGGTGCACTCGCTCGCGGCGGAGAGGTTGGTGGCGCGCGAGTAGCTGCCAGCCTCGCACGGCAGCGCCGCCGACGCGCCCTTGGCGCAGTAGCCGCCCGCCTCGCACGGCTTGCACGCCGTCTGCGCCTCCTCGTCCTGATACGTGCCGCCGGCGCAGGGCGTGCACTCGCCCTGCCTGGTCTCGTTCGTGTACGACCCCTTGGCGCACGCCGTCTGCTCGGTGGAGCCGGTGGTGGCGAAGTGGCCCGGCGAGGCGTCGGTGCACTCGCTCGCGTCGGTGAGATCCGTCTTGTCCGAGTAGGTACCCGCATCGCACGGCAGCGGCGCCGACGCGCCCTTGGCGCAGTAGCTGCCCTGCTCGCAGTCGCGGCAGAACGTCGCGCCCGTGTCGTTCTGGTAACGGCCCGCAGGGCAGTCCATGCACTCACTCAGCCCGGGCTCGCCGCCAAACGTCCCAGCACGGCAGCTCGCGCAGGTCTCGCTGCTGTTTGCGCCGGTGATCGGGCTAGAGGTTCCGGGGGGGCACTTCTGACAGGCATCTGGTGAGCTGCTGCCCATCTTCTCGTTGTAGCTCCCCGCAGGGCAGGGTGTGAAGCCGCCACCGCAGTCATCTGTAGCCTTGCAGTACCCACCCGCGGCACACAAATCGCATGCCGTCTGTCCGCGCTCCGCCTGGAACTCGCCAGCAGGGCACTGCATGCACGCAGCCTGGCCGGTGAGGTTCTGGTACTCCCCTGCGGCACAGTCGAATGGCCGGACGGTGCCTGCATTCGGGCAGAAGCGTCCCGCGGGGCAGTCGGTGCAGCTGGTGGCGTTGAGCTGATCGGCGAACGTGCCGGGAGGGCACTCGTCGCAGGAGCGGACCGCACCGGCTGTGGACTGGCTCGTCCCCGGAGAGCAAGGGAGGCACGACTCGGCACTGGCTGCGCCAATCACGGGCATGTAGAAACCAGGAGCACACGGGAGCGGTTCCGCTGTGCCCTTTGGACAAAAGTGGCCTCGGTTACACGCACCATCGCAGGAGGAGTTGGTGAGGCCGCTCCTGTTCCCGTAGTAGCCAGCAGGGCAGAGGTTGCACTCGGGGACGCTGAAGTCGCCAAAAAAGGAGCCCTTGCGCGGCATCCAGCTGCCCAAGCGGCAGTCCCAGTCTATCGGCTTGTCGGTCTGTATCGTGGCACCGTCGTTGTCGTCGCCAGCGGTGTTGCCGGTGAAGGAGGCGTCGCTGATCGAGGAGCGTTGGTCGAGGTTTTCCATGTACAGCACCGAGCCTGAGAGGCCCGCTCTGTTGTTGATGAAGTCCACACCCGCGATGGAGAGAGACTCACTGATAACCGCGAAGACGACGCCGCCCTTCTGCGGTTGCGAGGAGAGAGCGGGGTGAGGCAAGCCGTGGCCCTCTCCATCTCCCGCCCCGCTGCCGTGCGGCGCTGCAGGGGCGCGGCTAGCACTACGCGGCGCACAGTGCCAGCCGAGCAGCCTGTAACGTTCGAGTTGATGATCGAGACCGCACCGCTGCTAGACGCGAGGACGACGCCGCCGCCCTGCGTTTGCGAGGAGAGAGCGGGGTGAGGCAGCCGTGGCCCTCTCGATCTCTCGCCTCGCTGCCGTCCGGCGCTGCTGGAGTGCGGCTAGCTCTACGCGGCGCACGTATTCAGCAGAGCAATCTCTGACCGTCGAGTCGATGATCTCAACGTCACCTGCGCCGTTCGCGAACACAACGCCGCCGTTGTTGTCCGCCCACCCGTTGACGAGGTTCAGCCCCCGCAGGGTGAGGCTGCAGCCGCCCCCGAGGTGAAAGAGCCCGGTCTGTTCCTGGCCGTCGAGCGTCGCGCCCTCGCCGCTGCTCGCGACGGTCACCTTGATGTCGGAGGAGCAGCTGATCTGGCTGCCCAGCTTGAAGTCTGCCCTGGGTGGCAGGTAGATTGAGACGTCGGCTTGCGAAGTAGCAGCCTCCGTGATCAGGGAGCGGAGCTCGGCCTCGCTCGCCGCGGCGACATCGAAGCCGGGGGAGAGCGGCGGCAGAGGCGGGGGCGGCGACAGAGGCGGCAGCGGCGGCAGCGGCGGGGTCAGCGGTGGCGCAGAGGGCGGCGACGGCGGCGGCGACGGAGGCGTAAACTGCGAGAAGGAGACGTCGTCCAGCGCCACGTCCGATCTCCAGCCATTTCCCGTCCGGCCGTTGAAGCGCACCTTCGTCGTCGAGGCGGGTAGGATCACTACCGCTTCGAGCCAGCTATTGCCCTGGTCGCCGGTCCTGCTCCAAAGCGTCGTCCAGCCCGTCTCGGTGCCGTTGGCCTCGATGGAGAGGGTGCCCATGTTGGAGCCGTACATGTGGTAGAAGAAGGAGACGGTGGCCTCCTGCTGGAGCGAGAGAAGCGGGCTCTCGAGCTGGTGCAGCTTGTTGGAGCGCTGCGTGTCCGGTGTGGCCTCGGTGTAGAGGTAGTAGCCCGAGCCGGTGGTGTGGTCGCCGCTCGGGCCTGTGCTAGACGATGGAGTGCCGCCGCTCCTGCGGGTCCAAGAGAACCCGTCCGGCGCGGTGTCGGTCCAGGCGCAAGTGTCGACCTCGAAATCGCAGCTTATCATGTCGGGTAGAAGAGGCGGCGGAGAGGGCGGCTGAGGCGGCAGGAAGGGTGGCGACAGCGGTGAGGGCGGAGGCGACGAAGGCGGCGGAGACGGAGAGGGCGGCGGCGGTGAGGGCGGCGGCGGCAGGAATGGCGGCGGCGGCGGCGGCGGCGGCGAAGACGGCGGCGGCGGGGACAGAGGCGGGGACAGAGGCGGGGACCTAGGCGGCGACGGCGGCGGCGGTGGTGACGGCGGCGGCGGAGAGGGCGGCGGCGGAGAGGGCGGCGGCGGCAGGAAAGGTGGCAACGGCGGCGGCGGCGGCGAAGGCGGCGGCGGCGGAGAGGATGGTGGCGGCGGCGGAGGGAGTTGTGGCGGCGGCGGAGAGTTAGGTGGAAGCGGCGGCGGCGGTGACAGAGGCGGCAGCGACGGCGGCGGCGGAGAGGACGGAGGGAGGGGGGCGAGGATGAACGTCTCGTTGCCGTAGGATCCGGAGTCGAGCGTGAACGTATAGCCCGCACCCTTCCACAAGTCGCCGTTCCAGCCGTCGCCGTACCAGTCGTACATGTCGAGCGTGCACTCGCCGAGCGGCGCGGACAGGGTGCCGGAGTAGGGGGCCCCTCCACTGCCGATCAACGCGCCGCTGCACGTCAGGTCCCACGACACTTCGGACGGGTAGCTGCCGCCACCCACAGTGACCTGGAAGTCGATTGATGACGTGTGGACTGATGGTGCACATGCCAGCGGGAACAGCGCGGCGAGAATCAGCAGCCACGCGCCACGCCTCGCCCCCGTCCGGCACCGCACGAGGCGCCCCGAGCTGCTCCTCCGCACCGAGGGCAGCACGCCGCCGCACGCTCCGAGCAGCACGAACAAGGCGGCCCAAAACTGACAGCGCTGCTGGGTGCGGACAGGCGCGGAAGAGGAGGGTCCGCTCATGAAGGGAAAGTGGAACGGGGAGGGCAGGTCGATCATGGAGAGCTTGTCGACCGGCGGGTTCGCGGGCGGCTTGTCGGTCTTGGAGCGCTCGTCGGTGAGTGCGTGGTGAGGCTCCGCATGCCACGCAACGGGGGCGGCGCAGCGTGGCTGCCGGTCGGCGCACACACGTGAGACGGAGGAGATATCGGACTGGACCGAGTTCGAATCGGAGATCTGAGCGGCACGGACCTCTGCAGGCCACGCCGGCCCCTCAAGCGTGGCCGCGAGAAGAGGTTCGATGGCCTGGCAACGCTGGAGGAAGAGGTCCTTGGTTGGGTCTCGAGAAGCGTCCGTCAATCCGTCGTTCGCCCGCCACTCGCCTCCGGCGTGCATGCTAGCGACGGGCGCGCCGAGGCCAGTCTCGACCAGCTTCCGCACCTCCAGCATCCCAGGCTTCCCAGCGTCGGCAGGCCGCACGGGCGACGTGTCGTTCACGAGCAAGACGGTGTCGCGTCCCCGAGCGATGATCCCCGTCCTGTTGCTGTAGACGGGACCGACGAGGTCGATCTCAGGCTCGCCCTTGCGCTCCATGCTGTTGCGCGAGGCCGGGACGGTCTCCAAGTCGGCCTCGGCCTACTCGCAAACACACAGGCAATCGTTCCGTCAGCGGGTTACAAAGCTCGCACACACAAAGAGCCAGAGGGGCGCTCACCGGCTGCTTCTCGTAAATTTCCTTGACGGACGCCAGCGGCTCGCCAATTAGGTGCAACGGCTCGCCCACCGCCTCGCCGATCTCGTCCATCAGTGCTTCCCACGAGCGCCCCTCGTCGCGTCCGCCCTGATCAGCGCGCGGGCTGTTAGTCCGAGCTTGCGCGGTGGGGATACTAGCACGCGCGAGCGAGCACGCACCGGGTGGTTGGCGGGCGCGCTGTCCGACGATACGATGGCTACAAACGAGCTGGTGTCGATGCCGCCAACCTCGCAGAAGCCGTTGGGCGATGCCGGCGTGAAAGGCGGCTTCGCGACGGTTGCGAGAGGCGATGTCGGCCACGGGGAGTCGTACCGCTGCGAGGAGAGAAGCGCGGAAGTGGCAGAGCACGAGGAGTGCGCAAACGCGGCTCCGAGGCAGATCAGCGCCAGGCTGGCAAAGAGGCGGAGCAAGTTGTAGGACGGGCAGAGCTTGGGCCACGAGAACCGGCCGGAGGCAGAGACGGAGCTGTCCAGCGTGGGAACTGTGGTCGTCTCGACCATGCCCTGAACAGGAGGGGGCGCGAGACTGGCCGTGTGCGCGGCAAACGAGGGCGGAGGCCGCATATGTGTGCAGGCGGCGCGCACCGAGTCCGTGGTCGGCGGCGTGGAGATGCGGGGCGGCCGCGCCTTGTGGGCCACCTTGCCGCCGCCACCGACGTCCTCGTTGCCGTTCGTTCCGAGCAGGGCCCCGAACCGGTTCTTGCCGCCGACCCGGGAGACGTTCTCGACGCGGCCGACCCGGGCGGACGAGCCCTTGCGCGCCTTCTTGCGGCGCAGTTTCGACGGGTTGGTCCAGCCGGAGAAACCGATTGAGATGCCCTGCGCACGCGCAAGCGGTGGGTGCGTCAATAGTTGAGGCTCTGCGCGTGCACCAAAGCGTGCGATCGGCGCCGTGGCGAGCTTCACCCCCGGAGACTCCTTGGCCGAAACGGTCCGGTCGGCGTCGCCCTACGCAATGAAAGAGGGGTGGGGTCAAGGGGTGGGTCGGCAGACGCACGGCGCAGAATGCGAGGTGCGCGCCGCCGGGAACTCCTTCATCGACGGCAGCGGCGCGTCGCCGGCCGCCGCCGGCTCGAGAGCCGGATCTTCTTTGGTGACGCCGCTGGGGGCCGTCGGTGGGTCGATCGGGGTGGTGCTCTTGGAGCAGTCGACCAGGTTGGGCTCGCCCTTGCCGGTCTTCCACTCGTCGATGCCCTGCGCATGTGCGAGAGGCAAAGGGCCGATAGGAGAACCGCCCGTGGGACTCCCGCTACACCCGTGAGGTGTGTGCACGCGCTGAGAGAAACTCACCGCCGTGGCGAGCTTCTCCTCTGGAGACTCCTTGGCCTCACCCTCGCGCCCGTTGTTGCGGCGCGGGTTCGACGGGGTCGTCCAGTCGGCGAAAGCGCTCGGCTCGTGGGCGGCAGACACGGCCTTGGCGAACGCGGTCAGGTCCTTCTTGGGGACCTCCTTGAGGGAGGCCTCCGCGCCAGACTCCGCCACGGGGATGTCCTTCGCGAGGGCTACCTTGGTGCCGCACGCCTGTGGCCGAGGGAGCTACGCAGGTGTTTGGAGGCTTGGAGGTCGCACGGATTATGTTGATCCGGGCGTACGACGCACCTCGACTTCGAGGAGCACGGGAGCCATCGGCGCAGACTCGCCCTCGGACGCGACGGGCGTCCCGCCGCCGTCGCCGATGACGTCCTTGAGCGACGCGGGCCCGCTCTCGGACGAGATGCCGTCGGCCTTGCCTCCGGCAGCGATCTCGATGACGGACGAGAGCGGCGACGGGTCGGCGATGGTGTACGTGAGGCGCCGCGAGTCGGCGCAGGAGTCGAGCGAAACGCGTGCCGACGACGCAAACACGACGCCGACGTCCTCAAGCGAAGCGGGCTGCTTGCTCTCGGACTGGAGCGAAGCGGGCTCGCCCTTGGACTGGATGCCGTCCTCGAGCGAAGCGGGCTCGCCCTTGGACTGGATGCTGGCGGCCTTGGCTCCGACAGCGGTCGTGTTGCCCGCCAGCGACGCCTGTGACAGCCAGAGGGCGAGAGGATAAGTCTTGAAGGTCTCGCGGGAGCGCAGTTTCACTGCGCGCAAACACGCGCCTGCTTGTCGGCACGCGGCGGCGGCGGAGGTGGAGAGATCTTGATAGCGAGCCGATTACCGTCGGCCGGCACGAGCTCGAGTTTGAGCTTGTCGAGCATAGGCGGTCGAATGAGTTCCTATATGGAGGAAAGTAAGACGGGAAGTGAGGAACGAGTCTATGGGATCACGGCCATGTGAACGAGGGTAAAAAAACACTGTGGAGATGATTGGGGGTATATTGGTACATGGACATGGACATGGACATGGGGTGTGTATGAGGCTGTGCACAAGGTGCTGGTGCTCAAGGGCATGCTGAATGGGAAGAAAGAGCGAGCCGGAGAGAGGAGAGCCGCGCCTACGGGCAACACGTCGCGGCGTGAGCGTCGAGACGAGGCCGCCGGCACGCTCTCTCGCGTCCTCGGCGCGCGGACTGGAGCAAGCGAGAGCGGGTCGCTCTCTTGCCAGAAGAGAGGGAGGGCGGTCGCGCGGGACAAGGGTGGGGAATGGGCAGCAGCGGACGCGTCTCGCGACCTCCTCGATGGCAGCGGCTGTACCTGCGAGCAAGAGTAGGCAGGCGGTGCGAGGCCGAGGGGGGTCAGCCGCTCGCGCGGCGAGCGAGGGCGCATCGCATGGTGGGGGTGGTGAGGAGGCGGCGGATTCCGTGAGCAATAGGCGTCGCGGGGGTCTAGGCGTGCAGCTCGCGGCGGCATAGTCGGGCGCAATGCGGCGCGGCAAGCGCGAGCGGACGAGGAAAGTGCTGGCTTTGCCTTACGACTCGCTCTCCGCGTAGAGCGTTTCACGGAGAGAGAGCGGTCACATCTTCGAGTCACCGTTCACAGTTGTGGCTGTGAATTGACGCTTTGGGTCGGGGGTACAGGAAAAGAACCGTACTGGAAAATGTATTATCCTAACGGTGTGGGGGCGCGGAGGGCTTGTTGGCGAGCCAAAATGGTGCTTTCCGAGGCGCTGCGCTAGGCTCAGAGCGAGTTCGCGCTGCGCTAGGCTCAGACGGCGAGTTCGCGCTGCGCTAGGCCACAGATGGCGAGTGGTGCGCTGCGATAGATTTGCGCTGCGAGGATGAAAAGACCCCTTCTAGGAGCCGACAGTGGCCAGGGGCGGGGCTTATTTTTGCCGTCGCCAGTCGCCCCCCCCGCGCCCCCCCCCCCCCCAAACGCTATACAGACGGTGGGTAAGGGGGTGGGGAGGCTGCCGTGTTCCAGCCGTGTGCGCTGCGGTGCGCGTGCGCGCACCGCACACCACACGGCGGGAAACAGACCGCGAGGGGGGCGCGGCGGCAGCGGCGCAACGAGGCCGCGGCACGTGCGACGGATGGGCTGACCACGCCCTTGCCGCACTCCTCGACCATCGCCTCGACCTCGACCTCGTCCTCACCGTTTACCGCGATTGCGTCTGAGGCACCGACGGCTGCATCAACGGCTGTGCCGAAGGATACGACGGCGGACTTCCGCTGGCCATTTGTGGACCGTTTGCGCTTTCGCTGGATGCGGGCGGTCTGCCCCTGGCCACGTTTCGAACGGTCCTGCGTCCCAAGGTTGCGCTTCTCGATGTGCTCCAGTGGTACTCTCGTCACCTGCCAGCCACCGTCTCTCCGT